AGAGAGTAGGTTAGAAGGGGATGCTCCTTCCTCCTGTATAAACACACCGTGGGCAGGTCATGTCACCTCACAGGTGCCTTCAAGGCCCTGTTAGAGTGGTCTTTTTTCTCTAGAATCTTACCTCCCTCTCAGAGCCCAGCCTCTTAGTGTATGAAGCCTCCCGGTAACACTCCATGCATACAGCATTCAGCTTCACTACACTCTCTGCCAAGGGGACCAGGTTCAGGATGCTCCCAAATGCCTGCAGCAAAAAGATAGGCTATTTGGTACAGAGATAAGAACTCAGAAGGATCCAGTTACCTACTGCTGAAAGAAATTACCTTCCTCTGGAAGGTCCCATCGAGGGCAGCAACGATTACCGTCTTCCCTGCATTGGCCATTGCCTCGCAGAACTCCACAATGTCTGGGAACTAGACGGGCATAAAGAGGACAGCTTCAGCGAGGAGAGTGCAGAGGAAGGAGTATGGGCAGCTTCAAGCGAATTCAGAAGTGTCCCCACAACAGCAGGACAGGGCACCAACTAGGACACTACAGCAACATTACCTGAGCAAAGGGAGCAAGGAGCGTCTTCACAGTTCAGACTAAACATGGTAGGTTTAGCTGCCCACAGGACCCGTACCAAGGCTATGAGGAGGGATGGCACTAGAGCACACAAATGTGGCTGGATAAGAACTCCGCACAAGACCATTTTACCCACTGTGTTAACTGGTCTAAGATTCTTCTCTGCACTCCCCATCTTACATGGCACGGGGCCCCTTCAAGGCAAGTTGCTGGTTATTGGACAGGAGACAGCAGCAGACAAGCACTTGGAACTTACAAACTGGCCTTCGTCAATGCCAATCACAGCTGAACCAAGCGCCTCCTGGTGCACGTCTTTGAGATAACAGGCTGAAAGAGCCTCCATGGTATTCCTGCAAGGAAGGGTCAGCACATGAGTGAGTGCCTGGTCAACCATATAGGAGGGAGCTATTAAAAACAAGGGCTCAAGCACAGGTAACAGCTGTTTTGAGACAGGTCATCATTCCTGGGCTAAAAGTTGTGCCACTTAAACACGGTGCAGTTGCCAACCAGCGAGTTGTAAAAAAAGACATCCCAGACCACAGCTAAACAGCAGCTAGCTGAAAGCCGCATTCTGTGGAGGGGCACAGGGCTGCAGTCATGCCGAAACACACCATTGAAGGCAGGGCCAATGGACTGTACAGAACAAAGGAGACAACTTCAAGCTTGTAAGCCAAGTTCCCTTATTAGAAGCAAACAGTCAAGCTGCAGCAGACAGATGATTATCCTCCCTGCTAATGGGGGGGGGATATCCATGGCAGCAGCTCACCTGTCATGCGTGGAGACCCCATTGGCGCAGTAACGAGTGTCCTTGGCGTACTTGATCACAAGGCATTTGTACTGGGCAATCTGGAATCTGCGGACCCGGCGCATGAGTTCTGTGCTACAAAAGAGTCACACCATCAACCACAGCCCGCAGAGGGGCAGGCCCATGTGCGGGAATGGACATGACCCCAAGGATGGGTCTAGCACACCGAACACATACCGGGAGCCAACGAGACACCAGTGGCCTCCCCGGGAGGAGCCCTGAGGCCCATGATGCTGTCGGCCTATCTGGGTAACACAACAGCAGTGTCTCTCCCCCAGCAAGGGGACTGGTCTCCTAGTCACCGACTCCCCACAAACCAGTAGCAGCAGCTGAGCCCCAGTCACCCCCCTAGTGCCCCGGGGAGCCCCAGTCACCCCCCTGGCTGAGCCCCAGTCACCCCCCTAGTGC